TTTTGGAACAAGTGTGAATGTGAGAGGAGTGCAGAAAATTTAGATTATCATTTTGAAATATTGTAGCACCGTGCACCATATCAGAAATCGAAGGGAAAGTGTTCGTAGCACCGTAGCAGACGACAAGGATGTTGTGTTGGGTAGTGAACGAAGAAGAAAACGGAAACAATGGAGGAGAGACGAAAAAAATCATTTTTGAGGGATTTTGAGGATAGAATTAAGAAATTTAAATTGAGATAATATCTAGGGCCTACATTTATTAAATGACTGTGATATTAATTTATGGAAATAACAATTTTATATTTCAAAAAATCCAAATCCATTAATAAATGAAAATGCAATCAATAGGGGTAAATTCGGAATTAAATGAAAATTCTACCTCCAGAAATCTAAAAGTGTAAATTTATAGAAATTTAGACATTTATGTAAATAAATTTCTAAAACAGCCCTCCAAAGATATTATCTCTTAAATTTACCCAACCATTAACTAAATTTTTAGGTTTAGTTTATTTATCTCAACAGTACCAAAGTAAAAGGTCCTGTGTTCGAAACTCAATATCGATAAATGTAAAAATATCTTGATCATAAGTTTAAAAAATTCTTCTATCATTTTCTTTGATTTATTTTGATTGTGAAATAAATCAAGTATTGTTGTAGACAAAAATGATTATTATTATTATTATTATTTAATTCTAGAGAAAGTCAACATCTCAAACTTGATTACTTGGTGGAAATGCAATTTATAATAAACTAAATATTCAAATACACTAGTTGAAAACTTAAGGTAAAGTATTTTTAATTCTAATTTTAGGTTTAGGTGATGAAATTGCCCAAAAGGAGAGTGGATTTTTTTGTGTGTGTGAATTCCATTATCAATTTGGAGTCAAATTGGTAATAATTACAATGTTCATAATATTTCTTGCGGTGAATTTACCTTAAAAGAGAATCCAAACCTAATACTATTACTATATGAAAGGAAGTAAAAAAAAAAAAAAAAAGTCAAACCATAAATATGACTTTACACGACTTTGAATTTGCTTAAATTCTTTTATCGTTTTCTCAATTATATCGAAACGTCATATATATTTTAATATTTCACAAAAATAGTTAAGGGTTTGCCAACTCGAACACATATCACTTAAGTGATAAGATATTAATGTTCTCTCTTATGTGGTGTAGGTTCAAATTTTCTCTTCTTAATCTACGTAATTGTTAAAAAGAAAAAATTAAGAAAATTAAGGACTTATTTGAAATATACTTTCAAATTTGTTTTCTACTGTTTAATTGAAATAATAAAAGTTCTTTAAAAAATGTGATCGGATAACTGTTATTTAAATATTATTTCTTATCAGTGTTAATTTGTTATTGTTGTTTAAGAGTCGGTGCCTATTTTTCTATAAATTTCTTTTTATATATATGTAAACTAGATTGAGTTTAATATGGTATCGATTTAAATACTGTTTTAATTCATATAATTTCAATTCCGCTTCATTTCATTCTGGTTTCCAAATTTTATTAATAAATTTAAGGATTTTGCAACTAACATTTTTCTTGTTTCTCCATTTTTAGAAACATTCTCAAAATTATATAGAAATTTTGGAAACAATCAAAACAATTTGATTTGTTTTTAGTTTCCGTTTCCAATTTATTACCATACATAAATTTAAAGATTATTTGATCAATTCATTAGTGTTTGGACTATACAATTCTATTTTTCTTTATTAAAAATTAAGAAACAGAGGAACGTTACCAAACGAGCTCATTTCATTTTTTGTTTATTTTGATTTTCTACTATTGAAATATTTATCTTGACCCTTGTACTTTTAACGTGACAATTTTCTTTCTTATCTACTAAATTTTAACATAAATTTGAGATAATTAAAGTAGTCAGTTTTTTAGATACATGAATCAAAACAAATGTTTCTAATGCACGTGAATTAAAATGAAAAAAATTTAAAAATATAGAGATGTTTTAAGACACGTGAATCAAAATTAACCAATCGAAAATATAGAGACGAAAAACCTAACCTAAATTACTAATCAACGTACTTAATGAAAATTTTCCTAACAAGTCCAAAAGTTAAATATTATTATAATAAGGCGAGGTTGGCATGTAATTGGTGATTTATCAATTTAAAAATGTTTTTGACAATAAAAAAGAAATAAAATAATTTAAAAAATAAATTTTCAAACTGGCCTTAAGCTGTAGAAAAATATTAAAATGAAGTTAGTACCGACTGTCATAGTTGGATGTTAATTAATTGACATGTTTATTCAACATTTTTATTTTTAATTTAAATATTTGCCTTCCATTTTTTATTTTAAAAAATATTATGATAATATCTTGGATATGATTTTTAAAATAATAAAAAACAACTTATTTTTTATTTTTGAAATTTGTCCAAAATTTTGTACACGTTTTTAAAATATAGAATTAAGTTTCAGGTTTTAGAAAAGTAGAAACTGAAGAAAATATCATAACATTTTAAAAAATGCGGCGAAACAACATAATTTTTCCACAAAACTATAAATGTTGACTTTTTTTTTTTGTAAAAAAAATGTTTTATCAAAGAATTATTAAATCGAATAAAATTTATGTGGATGAATTTGTTAATTAAGAAGGATCTAATGTCTTAAACTTTTCAATTTTATTTTTTTTATTAATAATCCGGAATCGCCAAAACGAGTATAGTTCGGTGATAATTGACATATACCTCAAACTCTCTTATAGTCGTGTATTTTCATTGAAATAGAGATTTAGTCTCTATACTTTTAAATTTGAGGATTAAATTAAATTGTTACTTCAGCATACAAATATCCAAAAAAAAATTTTAACTTTTTTTTTAATATGAAATTTTCCCAACTGTGGAAAAT